TCGTTTCATCGTTTCATCGTTTCATCGTTTCATCGTTTGTAAAAATCGTCTGGTGTGCGGTGGGCTTTATGTTACGTATAGCCTGCAGAACATTATAGGAAATAATAATATGCATGCACACTGAATCTGGGCCTAACCAGCTTAACCTCATTTGTTGGCATTCGAAACAGTTAGATTTTGAGCTTTTTAAATTTAAAATAAGGTGGAGTCGGATGAGGGAGTACATAGAGGTAGATGAGGAAGAGAAGGGGGAGGAAGATGAAGAGGGTAGGAGGGGAAAACGCCGAGAAGGAAGGAGGAGGAGGTGACAAAGCGTGTAAACGTGGATGGATAATGTTGTTGTGGTATTGATGAACAGCACTGGTTTGTAAGGTAAACAGTACCACTGCAGGATCAGTCACGTTATTCTTCATTATATAAAAAATGCCAACATATGGTTTCTGTACAACGTATGCGTGCAATACATGTATTTTTATGTAGTTATACTGGAAACAACAAAGTGGGGCTGTTATAAGACATAGATCAATATAATATTAAAACAATCCTATAACTTATCACTCCGCTTTACAAATCAATCATTATTCAATACAAAAATATCCATATCTAGATCACATACAAGTAAGTCTTACAATCATCCTGGCCTTCGGTTTCATACCTGCATGCTTATCTTCAACTCTTCTCAGTTTTTCATCCCATTCCCTCCAGATTTTTGCCGTATATCACATGCTAACCAATGACGCAATTTCACCATCATCATATGACCACTATTCTCCATGTAGTTGCCTAATAATTTTGCAGAGTGGCTTCTTTCCCATATTCCACTAAGTTTTAGGCAGCTGGTAGGAATTAAGTTAAAATGATTACAAACAATTGTATTTATCAGTGCCCATCAGAGCAATATATATCCAGCCTCGCAGAATATATGAAATTGTTATCTATAGTAGCTATGAGCACATAAGGTCTATACCTACTAACCATAATTTCTCCACTAAAATGTACTGCTGACGCTGCTTCTAAAATAACTCCATCACTTGCCTTCTATGTATAGTGCGCACAACCATCTCGACTAAACAGTTATTAATTTTGATTAAAATTATATTAATGGCTGTACATAAATTGCTAATATATAATTAATAACTGCTAGCTGGAATGACATATGCATGTTGCATGCTTAGGTATTTCACATATCAAGTGTGCTATTAATTAGTTTGGCAGATTTGTCTATCATATGAACTCAAGTAATCATTATAAGAATGTCTTTCCCGGAGTTTCTTAAATGCAGATACACCTAATTTATTTTTGTATTTGTCTGTGGTTTCCCACAAGTGAAAACAGAGATCATCAGCAGTATATCACAACAGTGCTATCTTCTGAAATATACACACATAATCATGCATGAACAGGCATAAGACACGATGACCACAAATGTAATGTGAACACCCACAATCACAGACAAAGTTCATACATCTATTTGAGTGCCTGCTTATCTTGCACGCAGTCTATATGGAAGATGAAAGTTTTGTCTGTGTTCACTATATTGCTGTAATGAATCATGGCTAACTTCCATAACTGATTATACTGCATCACACATGAATCAGGTATATTCGATGCAATGATACTTAAAATTAGCTATATACATTGTTGACTAAGTTGATTATCCATGTGGGAAAAAATACAGTTATGAACTAGCAGTCATCAATAAAACTGGCATATAATTATCTGCCACCGTCCATGATTACCCACAAGTTAGGTATGTCACATGAGATACACGTACATAATCAACTTTAAAACTGGTAACCATAGATACTAAAATTAAAATAGGTCCACACTGCATATTTTGCTTCAAATTGTCCTAGGAGCTTACAGTGTCAATCCAATTTACTATATATATATATTATACTGTATATATATATATATATATTATATAACACATGCCGACTTATATATATAGCAGACAATGACAGCCTAATCATATCTGATTTATATAAAACTTACTTATATACCATGTAAAAATACATGGTCAATCATAACTGTGTTTGGAAAATGCCTTATCATCGTAACTGTTTGACCTATGTGTTTCTGTAATTGTACTATCACTTAATCAAGTGTGACAACAATTTAGTTGGTTCATTCTTGTAGGAATAAGAATTGAGTAAATAAATAATTTCCCTATTTTTAACTTGATAACAACATTTCTAGACGAAACAATTATCAAACATTTTCCTTGATTTGTACATCAATGCAAATACAGCATGTACACAGGTTTAGTTGACTAGTACACTTAACGTTTAATTCACGTATTATTATCGTCATGGATGAGTTTGTAAATATACACCAGAAATCATATATTGCACATCATGTGTATATTGCATATATTTCTGTGTATATATATATATATATATATACACACACATACATGCAAACACGCTCACACACTCACACACACACACACAGGCACACATGAGCACTCGGCTGTATGTAATTCGAATCATTTGATCCGTGAATCGAAGCATTCGATCTTTGAATGTTATATGTGATAAAATCAACCATAAAACAAAAAATCGAATTATGAAACAAAATACATGCCATAGCAGCTAGCGTGCGGTTTAATAGCTGAGTACTAATTAGCTCTAGTACTAGAGCTAGCCCGACTAGGCTGTGCGACCGATTGTCTATACAGATCTTCTAAAACCGCTGGACCGCCGTGCGGTGTACCTACTTGTGTGTTGCAGATGAGCATTTGACCGGCATTTAATACATGTGATTATAGGCGAAATAGAGTAGAGAAACATTTATATAAGACTTTGGTAGTAAATACATTTCGTGTTTATTTACCTTTTTTTATTGAGACGTTCCAAGTGCCTGTGAGTAAAAGCCTCGATCGTCTCATTGACTTCGGAGTTGCAGTGCGTACATGCCCGCGTTTTGTTAATTAGTATATTGATAATGATAGGCCTATAATATTATCAACTTTCAATGTGTTAGGGCCTACTGTTATCACTATTTTTGGGGATCGTGGGTATATTTGATATAGTTTATGGACCACAATGGAAATAAGTGTGTTAGCCACGCTTTTTGTGTTTTCATCCTCGATTATTTTCTAGCTGCATTTCGTTTATTTATGCTGTTATCGATGTAATGTAGGCTTTGTTAATTATCGAAATAAATATAAAAAAAAAAAAAATTGTATTATAATCTAGTTATTCATGTATTATCGCATGTGTATATTTATTGTCATAATTATTTTGCCAATGTATCTGTGATATTTGAGCAATAAAATCTATTTGAATTTGAATAATAATCATGCCAACATGTTAACAGTGTAGTCACTACCACCTATAGCTCCCTCCAAGAAACGGTCTTTGTTAGGGTTAGACATATATTCAATTATATCAGGAGCGTATAATGACAAATTGTCATTATAGTTTATACGCTCCCGATTATATCAAGAGCGGATAATACCTTATTAGGATACAATACCGGATAATGTATTATTAGCTCTTGATTATATATATAGACGTGTAGGACTATATTGACGTTAGTCACACAGCCTGGTCGGGCTACAGTACCACCCAAAAAGTATAGCAAAATAGAAATCATTTCTGGGAAGAAATGGTGGCCCTAAAAAGGGCCGGTGGTTTTACTGGTACGGCGAGTTTGCTCTACTTGGAGCTGGTGTACTTTGTGACAGCCTTGGTTCCCTCAGAAACGGCGTGCTTCGCAAGCTCTCCGGGAAGGATGAGACGGACAGCCGTCTGAATCTCCCTGCTTGAGATCGTTGAACGCTTGTTGTAGTGCGCCAGACGAGAAGACTCGCCGGCAATGCGTTGGAAGATGTCGTTAACGAAGCTGTTCATGATTCCCATCGCCTTGCTAGAGATGCCTGTGTCTGGATGCACCTGCTTCAGCACCTTGTAGATGTAGATGCTGTAGCTCTCCTTTCTCTTCTTCCTTCTTTTCTTGCCATCGGTGGGTCTCTTCTGGGCCTTACCGGCCTTCTTCACTGCTTTCCCACTGGGCTTTGGTGGCATATTGAAATGTGAAATCTACAAAAGAAAGCTAACACAATCTATGAAGTGAAGTACCGTCTTTATGCAACTCGTATTTATACAAGCTGGTCGGATTGAGAAAGCAGGACTTTCTTCGCGCCAATTACTCGTCATTCTTACTATTGTCCAATAGGAGCGTACGGTGTACTTGGCGGGAACTACGTGGGTGAGACCGTGAGAGTCGCTTAGCCTATCGTGTTTCGCGCCTTTCATCATAAATCGCTCGCCCATTGGTGCGCATATCGTACATTTGAATCCGCGGTCCGGGTATAAATTGCTCACACAAAATCTATTGGCAACAGCTGACTTGTTTGTATCGTCGTGTAATATTTCCTCACAGATCTGCAATATGTCTGGACGTGGCAAGGGAGGAAAGGTTAGAGCAAAGGGTAAGAGCAGGAGCAGCCGCGCTGGATTGCAGTTCCCTGTCGACGTATCCATCGTTTGCTACGAAAAGGCAACTACGCCGAAAGGGTTGGTGCTGGCGCTCCGGTCTACCTGGCTGCCGTCGTCGAGTACCTGACCGCCGAAGTTCTCGAGTTGGCCGGCAACGCTGCCCGCGACAACAAGAAGTCCAGAATCATCCCACGTCACCTGCAGTTGGCGATCCGCAACGATGAAGAGTTGAACAAACTTCTATCCGGAGTGACAATCAGCCAAGGAGGTGTCCTGCCTAACATTCAAGCCGTCCTCTTGCCAAAAAAGTCTGCAAAGGCCCACTAAGAAGTTTGCCGTTAGGAACAAGCTTAGGCCGTACCAGTAAAAACCAGCCGGCCCTTTTCAGGGCCACCATTTCTTCCCAGAAATGATCTCTACGTTGCATACGTTTTGACCGGGCACGTGCATTCGTGTTCGTAACTAACTCGGCCCTATCGGTGAATACATTAGTAAATCCGCAGCGCAAGACATGCCCTGCTTGTGCCAATTTTTATCCATTGGATACATCATATCAAGAGTGCATAATGCACTATTATGCACTCTTAATCATATGTATTGTATATATCTATGGATACATGTCCGCAGGGCATGGGACAGTACCACTGTCAAGGGCATCATTACAGTATAACTGCTTGTCAATCAAACAGATAAATACATGTATATCAGGGGTTAATATAACCAGGCTGTGTGACTAACGTCAATATATACATTATACAATAAGGTTTTTGTATATATCTTTAAGGTTTTTTATAGCCTCGTCTACACGACGAACCTTAACTCGAGTTAGCGCTTATAACTCAGTGACTTAACTCAAGCCGTTAGCGTTAATCAACTCGAGTTAGCTCTAGACTCGGTGCGTTACGATCGAGTTAATGCGTAACTTCGATACTCCGGATCGTAGCGTAGACTGCTAACTCGAGTTAGCGTATAACTCAAACTCGAGCTTAGCGTGAACTTCAACTCGAGTTAGCGCTTAACTCAACTCGAGTTAGCGTTAACTCAACTCGAGGAAGCGTTAACTCAACTCGAGTAGCGTTAACGCTCGAGCTTAGCCCTCGCCAGTCGATCGAAGGTTAAGGTAACTCGGAAGTTAATGCCCGTGTAGCGCTTAACTTCGAGTTAGCGAATAGTACATAACTCCACGATAGGCAGATCGAGCGGCAACACTAGTACGATGTACGTAGAGTCCCTTTATATCTCTTATATAAAGGGCGAGCCGTTTGTGTCTGTCTGTCTGTCTGTCTGTTCTGTCTTGGTCCACAGGCACTTGGACCGTTTCAATAATAAAATGATGGTAATAAATACCAAACTTGTCAGTAGCCTACTACTTACAGTACCAGCAATAGTCATTTAATGTTGATTTGACCTAATAACTTCCTTCAAGCCCGTTAAATTACACCGATCGCACACAATAGCCCGCACGCCATTGTGCATGCACACAGATACACAGGTAGATAAAGCGAGCTAGGAATTTCTCGTGAACACGCCTTTCATTACCTTCTCCTATTACTGTGTATTTTGTGCATGTAACAATGGCGTGCGGGCTATGTGTTGCATCGGTGTATTTAACCGGGTTGAAAGTGAAGTTATTCTAGGTCAAATCAAACATTAAGACTATTGCTGGTACCTGTAGTAGTAAGGCTACTGGACAAGTTGTATTTATAACCATCATTTTATTATTGAACGCGTCCAAGTGCCTGTGTGTACTGTCGATCTTCTCCCCCCACGTTTAAGAGTTCACCCCAACACCATATATATTCTTAATCAAGCATACATGCGTATTAAGTACTAAGATGTATGGGACCACTTTTAGACAAAAACAAATAAAAACAATACACAAAATCAAGAAATGGTCAAATTTTTATAAATGTCCGCCGCCGGTTGGCGTATATACCACCTGACTGCATTCGCGAATTGGCGCAGTGCTGTTTTGTAGCTGTGTTGTCAGAATTCAGCAACAATAACAATACTGAATTGGATTAGCTTCGAAGCGAGACACCCTCATATAGGTATAAAAATCATAAAGTTAATTATTTATAACTCGCTTATTTTTTCCCGGCAACCACTCAGTGTTTTCGTTACTTAGCACAGAAGTATAGCACTCTCAGCAGTCAGTCCCACGACCATTTTAATTTTTAGCGTTCTAATAGAAGACCATGGATAGAGAACAATGGGTCCCAATAAAACCAATGTCATTACATCAATATAAATATAATATTATATCAATATAATAGAGTTAGGCAGCGTTAGAATTAGAGTTAGGGTCTAGGGTGTTAGGCACATTGGTTTTATTCGGGACCCGTCTCTATCCTTGTGTGGCCCTATTAGGTCAAAAACATTTTACGCAATTACATAAAGGGCGAGTCTGTTTTTCTGTCTGTTCAGTCCTTCTATCTATCTCTCTCCCCCTAACAGGTCACCCCAACACCATATATATTTTCAATCAGCATAAATGCCGTCTAAACAGAGCGAATTTTGCTCCGACCTGTCATCTGCAGATTCCAATGGATCAAAATACAATTCGTCCACGTTTCGTTTCACCGGGTTCATAGCCGACGTGACCTCATGGGAGTAATACTATATATTAGTAATTATAATAAATAGTATTATGTAGTATACGAGTTATAGTAGTGACCTAAGCGTAAGGCTAACACATTGCCACATGATGATGTCTATGAATAGCTATAATTTCTAACATGCTAACTCAAATCCTATCGCGCCTCCATATTATAGTTAGATACACGTTCCACCGTCATAGCATAATAGCGGAAGTCGCCAGGGTTTATTTATTTTCAATCACAGGTCCAGAGAATTCCTCTGTTTAAGACGCATGTATCAGCATGACGCGACAACCCATTTTTAGGCCCAAAACATTTGCATCGCCAGACGGGCATTGCCAGGGGGTCACCCGATGAGCGTATAATTCTCAATCAGCTGAGTGACGGACTATTTTAGGCCAAAATAATTGCACAAAAAAGCGCCAAAATAAGCGGCAAAAAACAAACAACACATAGTCCCTCAAAAAAGTACTAGCGCAGCCACAAAAAAGTTAACACTCACAGCAAAAAAAAATAAAACGCAATCTAGCCTCCACATATTAGTAACACTGCCAGCAGAAAAGTCAAGACGAATCCTAGCGCAGCAGAAAAGTAAATAGCATCCTATCTGCGCCAACTATAGTCAGGCCCTCAAAATACAGGCAATCCCATGAAATGCCGACGACAAGCAATAGCAGAAAACGCGCATGTGAAATAGCAGAAAAAGCAGTAACCCCCAAAAAATCCGCGGCATCGCCGGGTTTAGCCCAGCCTAGTTGATATATAACGGACTCATACGATGTACGTACACCCACCACGAACTTGCACACGCACGCACGCACGAGTACTTGCACACGCACGCACACACTCATGCACGCACGTCTACGTGCACATGCATGTACGCACGCACGCACGTGTACCTGTACGCACCACGCATGTACAGGCCCGTAGCCAGCTTTCTATTGGGGGGGGTCGTTTTTCAATGTTGGCCAATTTGCTCCGGCAGTGGGCTGTACAGGATTTGTTACCAGGGGGGTCTAACCGTAACCCATAGTTGCGAGCACGCGAAGGGGGTCTGGGGGCCCTCCCCCAGGAAATTTTTTAAATTACACCCCTCAGATGCGTTTTCTGCGCGAGCAAGGGGGGGTCCGGACTCCCTGGACCCTCCCTGACACGCCCTGCCCGGGCGCGAAGCGACCAGGCGAGGGAGCCAAGCGACCGAGCGGGGGAGGGTGTGGGAGGGGGTGTTCACTGTTCACCCTCCGCGCACGATGGAGATTTTGCAATTATTACACTAAAATGGAGCGACCTGAGGTGAAATTCTTGCAAAATTTAAAAAAAAAAATTTTTTTGCTGGGGAGGCAGGGCTCGGGGGGGGTTCGTTCGAACCCCCCGAACCCCCCCTGGCTACGCGGCCTGCATGTACGCACGCACGGCACACATCGTTACACACGTGTACCTGCACAAGCACGCACGCACGCACGCACGCACGAACGTGTACCTGCACATGCGCGCACACGCACGCACGCACGTCTACGTGCACATGCACACGCGCGCGCACACACGGACGCACGCACGCACGCATGTACGCACGTTAGTACACGCGAAGTACGCACGTGTACGTGCACACGCACGCACGCATGCACGCACGTGTACGTGCACACGCACGCATGCACGCACGAATGTGTACCTGCACACGCGCGCACGTGTACGTGCACACGCATGCACGCACGTGTACGTGCACACGCACGCATGCACGCACGTGTAGGTACACACGCACGTTTACGTGCACACGCACGCACGCACGCACGTCTACGTGCACATGCACACGCGCACGTACACACGCACGCACGTTCACATACACACGCACGCACGCATGCATAATAATAAATCGGTAATAACCGCTATCGAGTGTTGTCGTGTTATAATTTTTTTTCTAGAGGATGGCTGACTTGATGACCGTATGGTCTTTTCGCCATCCTTTTCGCTGTATTGTTTTCTTTATTTACCTTGTTAATTTTTTGTTCTATATTGTGAACGATAAGCGATAAATAAACTGTTATCTTATCTTATCTTATCTTATCTTATCTATAGCCGCGTGCTGTACGCGGGCTATAGTATTAGAGCTATATTGACCCCTGATGTATATATATAATATACAGTGTGTATATATATATATATATATAATATATATATATCAATTATAGGGTTAATAATGACAAAACTCACTATCAACTGTCATCATCTTTGCAATTAATCAGTAACTACAGTTAGAGATCAGTGCATTCCACCTTGGAGTATATCCGGAAGCAAGCATGTGTAAGAAGCACACGGTGTAACACATTGCGACATTGCGATGTTTCCAGAGGGCAGCAGCAACTCCTCTCTCTACTCTCTAATGAGGGACTTTGCGTTTTTACCGTTGTTATTGTTGTACCGCTAGGTAGGCCCAAGGCCTTGGGTAGGCCTATACTTGATTGTGAGTGACGTGCTTGCATGTCAGGTCAAGTACAGTATAGCCTGTCAACTGTAACGTGTAAGTTTGTGATAAAACAGATTTCATAGCGGCAGTAACTGAGTTAATTAGCTCTAGTACTAGTAGTAGTAGTAGTAGTACCATTGCCAGTATTGGCATAGACCGCGTACAGAATTGCCGCTGCCAGCGGGCTATATAGACATAGTACTACCACCAGCAGTACTTCTTCTACCAGGTCTACAGCAGTACTTCTTTTCATGGAGTTTCAAACTCTGTCGTCAAAGTCGTCTCAAGTCGTCTCAAGTCGTGTAAAGCTTCATTACTAGTCAATATTTACTACTTAAATATTTATCTTATACTTATAGCACTGTTAGCGGGTAGAGGAATTGCGTCTAAACAGAGGAATTGCTCCGACCTGTGATTGGAGGATAAAAATAGACTCCGCCCACTCCCGCCGCATACGCTATTAGTATTAGTATTATGCTATGACCGGTAGGAACGTGTACTAACTATCATAATTATGGAGCGAACGATTTGAGTTACATTTCTATAAATTCTAGCTGTAGTAACTATAGCCCGCTTGCAGTTGCCGCATAAGTGCAGTTGCATTGCCTGCGGCAACTGTACGAGGGCTAGTATAGTACTAGAGCTATGCTGGGAGGAGAGGTTATAACGTACATACACTGTACAGTGGCGGTTCTAGAGGGTGGGGGTGCAACCCACCCGTTCAGCCACTGACTAATGCTGAGAGGGTCTATGTCCCCCAGTGTACTGCCGTAACGTACCCTGGTACTATCAAATATGCCGGACCGTACCTCGCCTACTCCACTAACGAGTCTAGGTAGTCACCTACGCCTATACTCCCTACCCCTAACCATATCAAATAGTTACCAGGGTACGTTCGGAACTTCCGGTATACCGGACCGTACCCAGGGTACGTTCCGGCAGTACCCTGGGGGACACAGACCCTATGAGTCTGACGCATGCATGGTATGATACTAGTAAAATGGGGCACCCTAGCACCGCGTGCCTTCGGCACGCCTTCGCGCTTTCTTCGCGTCGTGTCGTGTATGTATTCTCTCCTGGCGGCCTCTCCCGTTCTGCGTAAATGGCGTTGTCGCCCTGCTTGGATATAGTCTTACGGTGATTATAAGGTTGGCTCAGTGATCTTTATTACCTTGTATATTCTAATATCTGCATGCACACTGATCTGGGCTAACCAGCTTAACCTCATTTGTTGGCTTCGAAAACAGTTAGATTTTGGCTTTTAAATTTAAAATAAGTTGGAGTCGGATGAGGGAGTACATAGAGGTAGATGAGGAAGAGAAGGGGAGGGAGGATGAAGAGGGTAGGAGGGGAAAACGCCGAGAAGGAAGGAGGAGGAGGTGACAAAGCGTGTAAACGGTGATGGATAATGTGTTGTGTTTGATGAACAGCACTGGTTTGTAGGTAAACAGTACCACGCAGGATCAGTCACGTTATTCTTCATTATATAAAAAATGCCAACATATGGTTTCTGTAACACGTATGCGTGCAATACATGTATTTTTTAGTTATATGTGGAAACAACAAAGTGGGGCTGTTTATAAGACATAGATCAATTAATATTAATAACAATCCTATAACTTCATCTCCGCTTTACAAATCAATCATTATTCAATACAAAAATATCCTATCAGATCACATACAAGTAAGTCTTACAATCATCCTGGCCTTCGGTTTCATACTTGCATGCTTATCTTCAACTATTCTCAGTTTTTCATCCCATTCCCTCCAGATTTTTTCCGTATATCAGACATGCTAACCATATGACGCAATTTCACCATCATTATATGACCACTATTCTCCATGTAGTTGCTCATGATATTTGCAGAGTGGCTTCTTTCCCATATTCACTAAGTTTTTTAGGCAGCTGGTAGGCATTAAGTTAAAATGATTCAAACAATTGTATTTATCATGTGCCATCAGAGCAATATATCCAGCCTCGCAGAATATATGAAATTGTTATCTATAGTAGCTTGGGCACATAAGGTCCTATACCTATTACCATAATTTCTCCTAAAAATGTACTGCGTGACGGCTGCTTCTAAATAACTCCATCACTTGGCTGCCTGTCAGAAGGCGCACAACATCTCGACTAAACAGTTTATTAATTTTGATTAAAAGTTATATTAATGCTGTACATAAATTGCTAATATATTAATTAATAACTGCTAGCTGGATATGACATATGCATGTTGCATGCTTAGGTATTTCACATATCAAGTGTGCTATTAATTAGTTTGGCAGATTTGTCTATCATATGAACTCAAGTAATCATTATAAGAATGGTCTCTCCCGGAGTTTCTTAATGGCAGATACACCTAATTTATTTTTGTATTTTGTCTGTGGGTTTCCACCAAGTGAAAACAGAGATCATCAGCAGTATATCACAACAGGGCTATCTTCTGAATATACACACATAATCATGCATGAACAGGCATAAGACACGATGACCACAAATGTAATGTGAACACCACAATCACAGACAAAGTTCATACATACTATTGAGGCCTGCTTATCTTGCACGCAGTCTATTGGAAGATGAAAGTTTTGTCTGTGTTCACTTATATTGCTGTAATGAATCATGGCTAAACTTCCATAACTGATTATACTGCATCACACCATGGATCAGGTATATTCGATGCAATGATACTTAATTAGCTATATACATTGTTGACTAAGTTGATTATCCATGTGGGAAAAAATACAGTTATGAACTAGCAGTCATCAATAAACTGGCATATATATCTGCCACGTCCATGATTACCCACAAGTTAGATGAGTCACATGAGATACACGTACATAATCAACTTTTAAAACTGGTAACCATAGATACTAAAATTAAATAGGTCCACACTGCATATTTTGCTTCAAATTGTCCTAGGAGCTTACAGTGTCAATCCAATTTACTATAATATATTATTATACTGTATATATATATATATATATTATAATACAACATGCCGACTTATATATTAAGCAGATGCACATGACCGCTAATCATATTGATTTATATAAAAATTACTTATATACCATGTAAAAATAGGTCAATCATAACTGTGTTTGGGAAAATGCCTTATATCGATAACTGTTGACCTATGTGTTTCTGTAATTGTACTATCACTTAATCAAGTGTGGACAACAATTTTAGTTGGTTCATTTTGTAGGAATAAGATTGAGTAAATAAATAATTTCCCTATTTTTAACTTGATAACAACTTCTAGACGAAACAATTATCAAACATTTTCCTTGATTTGTACATCAATGCAAATACAGCATGTAACACGGTTTAGTTGACTAGTACACTTAACAGTTTATTCACGTATTATTATCGTCATGGATGAGTTTGTAATATACACCAGAATTAATATAATTGCACAATCATGTGTATATTGCATATATTTCTGATGATCATATATATATACACACACATACATGCAAACACGCTCACACACTCACACACACACACACAGGCACACATGAGCACTCGGCTGTATGTAAAGCATGTAGAATCGAGGACTGAACAAGCAGATGTATTAAATTGTACAAATGATTTGCCTATGGTTCTGAAGGGCAAAAGTGTGTGTTAACACTTGGTTATATGCTGATCACAAAATATTCATCACCCAGCCTCGGTTGTCACCTGTTCTCACAATTGTGCGCACGCGCGAACACATACAGAGATGGGATGCTGGGATGCTGGATGATGAGATGGGTGGGTATAAGTATGCTGAGTAGGCACACTAAGTATTAGACAGATGGTGCTATACACAGCTCTCTATCTGGTTTACAACCAATGTGTCATTTTGTGACAGAGTTGTTGGTGTCGTTGGCTCCGGTTCCTCTTCAATGATACTAGGTGGCTTCTCCAAGTAAATTTCTGCAATATCCTGGGGCTGTTGGCAACAGAGGAAGCAGGGAATGAGACACCCAATTAGGCCAGCGATGGACAGAAACGCACCTGCCATTATGTAAGGTACGGTGTAGCTATTCGTTGCATCAAAGACCATACCTGAAAGAAAATAGGAACGGATGTTGAGTGATCACGTGAGATATGCGTCTAGTGTTTTGCAAGATATAATCCTTTGATTTTTAGAGACAGGCATTGAATCTACTACACTGAAAGTTAGGTTGTATTAAATACCAAGCGTTTTTATACCTATCTATTAGTATTATGTGAGAAGTAGCTAAGACAAGTTCATCATATGAAAAATCATTGATATTTATGCTAAACCATGGTTATTTGAATAGTCCATGTAATGACACCCTTGTCCCAATAGCTGCCAGACACATTTACAACGTGGTTTGTAAATATGTGACATTTGGTACCGCTAATATTGACTATGTACAGTGATGTTACTATGTTTGGTGAAAATGACAAACAAGTTTGAATATATCTTGAGTATATGAAAGCAGTCTGAAGTGTGCAAAGAGGTATAAGTGATAGAGGTGGATATTGCTCAAAGATACAGTTACTGCTGCTGCAGCAACAACACCATCAATAATTGGCGACAGTCTCAGTATACAAGTGTACACAGACATGTTCGAGACATTGGGTGCCACTCGAGGTCTTAACCTTCCCCTACTGAGTGCAAGATTTTTAGCACTAACCTGCAATAGGAGGCCCTGCCATGCAAGATGCACCACGAAACAGCATCAGCAAGCCAAATGCGTTCGTCAACTTTTCCAGCCCGAGTAAATCGACGAGAATGACTGATGTCAAGCATATGTATGCAGCTGTAACAAAGATTGTGATACAGGTTTAATTTCATATAGGCCTAAGTAAATTCCAACTGAATCTAGAATATCTCAGTTGCTGTGGTTGAGCTCACAAGGTCGATTCCCAACGACTTGCGTTGTCAGTCTATCCGGAGCTCTCTAATCATGATGCTTAAAACATGTTATTAGGTTATGACAACATAAATAGCCGATAAAATGTTATGAATCAGGGCAGGTGGTGAGCACAGTGATGTCACCAAAGGACATGTTTAGGATCTAGAAACGAAATGGCTACAATCACGGTTACCTTGAAAGTGTCCGCGCTCACGATGTTTTCGAAAATACAATGTATAATATTATGCCATCAAATCAGAGAAGGGGTTTATATCAAATTCCCACCCGGCAAGAGAATCCATCTTTTGCATACTATGTGCGTATCGTTTCTAGTGTTTCATATTATTTCAGGAAAATGCCACAATGGTACACTGCTCACGTGGGCTCTACTTCAGGCGCTTCGTATAATCTCATCAAAACATCATGACGGTAGACACATGATTGCACCGTTATGACTCCACACCGCATAAACTCTGTGCAGTGCGTGCACCCTGGTGGTATTTTTTATAAAAAATATAATTAGATTTTTTTTTAAATGTGACAGTAACGCCGCCGAACGTGCGTCACCGACGTACACGGAAAGCCGCATCTCTTTCGTAGCCGGATTTGCTCCGGACTCGCTCGGACACAGACGTACGTACCTGCTGTCAATCCGAACACGGTGCAGTAGACGATCAGCGAGACGTACGAGTAGCAGATGGGCACCAGCATCGTGCTGACGCCGGCGATTATAAGGCAGCAGTTGTTCACGTGCAGCGTGTTCACCTCGGGACGGTCGCAGAGCCAGCCGGTCGCGACGCGGCTCACCGTGTTCGCGATGCCGATGACGGACAGCAGCATGGCGGCGCTGGTCTCCTCGATGCCGAGGTCGAGCGCGCGCGAGTTCGTGTAGACGAACGGCACGTAGAACCCCGCAAAGGCCAATATGTTCGCGAGGCAGATGAGCGCGAAGATCGGGTTGCGCAGCAGCCCAAAGTCAGTCATCTCGGCGAAGACGCTGCGCACCTCGGGCCCGCAGCACGTCGCCGTGAGGGCGCCACCGTCGTCCAGCTCGTCCTCGTAGCGGCACGTCGACAGCGCCGTCTCCATCGGTATCGACGTGATCGACGTCAGGTACGCGTTCATGTTGCCCTGCGACTGGAACTCGGGCAGGTTGTAGATGCTGCCGCTAAAGAAGATGTCCTTGCGGTACATGGGCCGCTTCAGCTCCTTGGTGATGTCCTTGGCGGACTGGTGCGTGCTCAGCGATATGCTCGTGATGCGCTGGTAGCTGGGACGCTTCCAGATTCCGGATCGGAGAGACGAGGTGCTGTTGACCATCACGTCGGGGTTGGACCCCTGCAGCGCGCGCAGCGTCTTGTTCACGGGCGGCTTCAGCTGCTGGTTCGGCTGCGGGATGCTCGCGAGCGACGAGACGACCACCTGACCGTCGGTGAGCCGCCGGATGTTCTTGCTCACGTAGCCGTTGGCGTTCGGATAGCTGTTCTCCCGCTTGAGATTGTACGGGTAGCTGTTCTCGCGCTTGATGCGCGCGAGCGATGGCGGGAACCTGTCCCGGGGACTCGTCGGGCTCAGCGGCCGCGACTCCGGCGAGGCGTCGTGGAGCGTGTCGCCGTTGGCGAGCGGCGACTCGGGGGTCCTCACGTGACCAATCCCGACGGGCACCTCGGGAGTCTGAGGACTCTGGTTGCCACGGCCACCGCCACCCGTCTGCAACCCGTTCTCCTGCGGCGTGGTCGTCGTCGTCTCCGCCGCCGCATGCTCCTGAGCGCCCCCGTCCTCATTCTCTTCCGTTATCGCGTCGACGTCCTCGACCCGCACCACGACCTCCCCGCCGCCGCCGCCGCCGCCGCCGCCGCCGCCGTCGTCAATCTTCAGCGTGTCGGGACGCTGCCTCGTGCCGGAGCCCGTGCGCGACCGGAACGACCCCCTGCCGTACGCGTACGGCCTCCCGCCCGACCCCGCGCGCGCCCGGAAGTCGCCGTCGTCGGCAGCGACGCCGCGGGGACGCGTTGCGGAGCCGGTCCTCGACCGGAAGTCCAAATCGTCGGTGGCGCCGCCTACACCGTCGCGTTCGTCGCCCAAGCCGTGCAGCTTCGACGCCATGAGCTCGGCGGCCGACAGGTCGACCTGCATGCTCGTGCCGTCGTCCGGGCAGTCGGAGAACGTGCGTATGCGCGCCAGCTTGGCCTCCTGCATGCGCTCCATCAGGCTCTTGAGTCTCTTGCGCGGCTGTTCGCTGTCGAGGTAGAGCGGCCTCATGAGCGAGCCGGCGACCATGGCGTTCAGCACGATGCCGGCGACGATCATCGTGCCGCCCTTCCAGTCGTACAGCTGCAGGAGGTACTTCGAGAAGGGAGCGAAGGCGAAGGTCCCAACGCCGGAGCCGCACACGGCTATTCCGGTGGCGAACGCTCGTCTCTTCTCAAAGTAGTAACCCACGCTAACGATGGCCGGCAAGTAGATAAAACTCAATCCGCTGCCTGCAAGATAACGTATGAGCTGTTGACACAAACACGTAACTTAAAGAATGCGTTTACCGACAAAAGAATATCGAGTTGATGACTATCAGAACGTACGATGCAATTCTATTGATTTTAAGTTGGACGATGGACTTTATTTTGACTGCATCTTATTTGAGATTATACACTTTATCTCCCATTTGTTTAATGATCAGTGGTTTTGCAGAGGTATCTCTGACTGGCCCTGCCAGCCTACCAACGTCTGGCTGACTCTTGAAGTCGAGTGACTTCGACATACGACTGCTTTTTCTCAAAATAATTCTGTTCTCACTAAAAATAAGAATGATTTTTAGGTGGTTTTCTCAAACGTTCTAAGTGAATGACTGCATTTCTTTTAGAGCGTTATGATTTAGTTTTAGTCATAATTAACACTGTGTGTAAGTGCGAGTGTGTATGTAATGTAATAAGAAAACCTCATGGATTTTACCTGCCATAACACCATACGTAATGATGAGCACTGTTATATTTGGGGAGAATATACTCATGAAAAATGCCAGGCAGGATAAGATGCTCCCTCCTATGCAAACAGCACGACAGCCGTACTTGTTCGTTAGAGCACTTGCAACCGGGCCTGCAATGCAAAAAGTAATCACACAATTTACATGATGTCCTTATGAGTATATATACGTATGTTCAGCACAAAATAATTATATACACAGTAATTTTTATGTTCATATGTTTTAGCGTGAACTTAAGTTTATGTATGTTCAGCACACAAAAATTACATACAAAACCATTTACATGTCCATGTATTTTAGCATAAACCTGAGTATACATACGTATGTTCATAGTTCTTGTGTAAAGCAAAAACAATTAGTGAAAATGAGTATGAACCATGCTGCATGTCTACCATTCTAAACAGAATAGTATGCGTGCATTTGACCGTTTGATTAGGTTGACTGACATAAACCCTGAAATGCACAAAATATTATATAATAAGTTTTACGTCTATACGTTTTATTCTCCTGGTTTTATTGTAAAGCTGATACATTCAAGAATGAGAGAACTTGTACTATTACTTATATTACTTAATAAACTTAAACTTATACTTACCACTACTCATTTCGTTTGTGTTCACGTTAACTATTCCCATGCAATGTTTTCCACGGCTTAACTGTAGCTGGATTTGCCCCTCGGGGAGGTTAACAGATCTAATTACAGTTTTTAAGTTGGGTCACCTCGACTCATCTGTGTTCTAGATTTTCGTCTAAAAATGAAGCTACATATATGCCCAGCAATGACAGAGTCTGGAAAGTTGCAGGGGAATCTAAAGTCAAAACTAAAGTACACCATGTTGATCAGTGTTAACAGGTTTCTATCCAGCAGAAGAACCTTTGATCTTTGATGTATTTAATTTTAACTGTTGATATGTTCTCTACGCGTACTATACGCCTTAGCAATCTCATGTTAAACTTTCCTAGTCATTAGCCTAATGAGCAAGTGACATGTCAATGATGCTATTATAGCTAACTATTTCTGGTGGGGCGTGGCTTTAGCAAATTATTTTATAATACAGCTAATTAAAAGCATGCACATGCACTGCATCCTGACATTTATGAAACCTTTATTGAAGCTCGGAACAGGTATGAGCACATTATACGGAGGATAATAATATTATTATCTTGTTTGATGTGTTCCCAGGCAATACCTTGTGTCAACTAACTTGTTTTAATATCTTGGGTGTAACTCGCATAGTAATTCAATAGTTAGCTAGTTATTACATTTTATTTGGTATATGATCACCATCAATCTTTAATTATTATTATTTGGGTCAGCAGATCATGGTGTGTGACGTATGTGTGGCCTGAACCTAGAGCATCATTCCTATTCTAGTATCTTCTAGTATCTGTAGTATAATATAGTATAAACCACATATATCACAAATTTATTGATTAAATCGAACGTTGGGTCCTTGTAAAACTATTTGCTCAAGAGCGATCGAAAGCACTATAAAGTGATAAAGCATAGGTATGATAATCCAGTACGCAAGAACAAACGTTTATACTATGACTGGCAAACAATCGTAAAATGACCACCCTTTAGCTATAGGCCTATATCTCATTGGTAGTTCGCTTGGTGACTCTACTGGTTGCATTTCATCACAGAGACTGCTATCTTTGTTTTCAGTACAAGCTACTGCCTAGGTTTCGCTTGTGATTATTTATACACATAACATTTCATGGACACAAATGGTCATGAACTTTAGTACATATCCGGAGTGCACTATTTTCGATAAACTAGCAGCAGCAACCGCAGCAGCAGCAGCAGCAACAGCAGCAGTAGCAGCAGCAACCGCAGCAGCAGCAGCAGCAGTAGCAGTGGCACTGGTAGCAGCAGCAGCAGCAGCAGCAGTAGCAGTGGCGTTGGCAGCAGCAGCAGCAGCAGTAGCAGTGGCGTTGGCAGCAGCAGCAGTAGCAGTGGCGCTGGCAGCAGTAGCAGTAGCAGTGGCGCTGGCAGCAGCAGCAGCAGCAGCAGCAGTAGCAGTAGCAGTAGCAGTAGCAGTAGCAGTAGCAGTGGTGCCGGCAGCGGCAGCAGCAGTAATAGCACTAACCATGAGATGAGTACTTAGGCTCTACCAAAACTTTTTGGTAATACACCTAGACATATCTTCCAACATTTACTTAGGCTCATAGCAGGGGCGTGTACAGGGGGGGGGGGTCCAGGGGGTCCGGACCCCCCCTGCTCGCGCAGAAAACGCATCTAAGGGGGTATAATTTCAAAATTTTCTTCCCCAGACCCCCCTTTCGCGTGCTCGCAAGTTTGGGTTACGGTTAGACACCCCCCTGGTACAAATCCTGTACACGCCCCTGCATCTAGGGTCTATGTCCCCCAGGGTACTGCCGGAAACGTACCCTGGGTACGTACCCTGGTAACTATTTGATATGGTTAGGGTTAGGGTTAGGGAGTAGGCATAGGCAACTCCCTAGACTCGTTAGTGGAGTAGGCGAGGTACGGTCCGGCATATTAGATAGTACCAGTGTACGATCCGGTATACCGGACCGTACCCAGGGTACGGTCCGGCAGTACCCTGAGGGACATAGACCCTCTCAGCGTTACTTAGCATACAATGTCATGCATACAGTCAGAAGTGCAGTACAGTTGGGCTCTCTGTGTGCAGGGGCGTGTACAGGGTTTGTACCAGGGGGGTGTCTAACCGTAACCCAAACTTGCGAGCACGCGAAAGGGGGGTCTGGGGANTGAATGGAAACTTCGTCACAGAAAATTTCTGGAAGAAGCTGGGAAAACCAAAGCTGGAGAAGCCGAAGTGGCGATTCGAGTCGGCTAGCAAGCACGACCTGCCAGTTTTGGGTACATTCACCGGAACTACCACGTTACCGGGATCAGGATTCAAGCACGACATCCGCTACATCGTCTCCACGGTTCCAGACCTAAACCTGCTAGGAAGGGCAGCAACGGATCGATTGGGAATCTCGGTCGATAACGCAATGAATCGTGCACCACCTTAAATCCTACTACTTGATTATTGTACCGCACGTACATTAT